AAGCAAGAGCAGAGAGGGTGTCAGCTGCCTTGCTGCATGGCTGTGCAAGTCCAGAACCAGCAGTCATGGCTGGAGGAACAACAGGACCATCTGGGCACAGCTCTGGAGACAGCAGCAAGGCAGCAGAAAAACAAGAGGAATAAAACAGCAAAAACACAGGAGGTGCTGACATCTTAATAAAAGGATGAACCAACTGGTCACAGGAGCCAGAGCAGCTGTGCCCACCTTCCTGGACATCCCTGTGGACAGAGCACCTTCCCAGCCAATGCCATGGGAAGAGGGAAGAGGGAAGGGAAGGAGGAGGCCCACCCAGGTATCACTCCAGTTCAACTGAAGGCAAAAAAGCCACCTGGATCTTGGGAAACAGGCAGTCACATACACAGGTGACACAGCCTTTGCTAACTGCTGCACATAATGCTGGGCTCCAATCCTTACTCCTCCTTAGGAGACAAAGAGCAGAGAGCCCTGGGTTTATAAATTATTCTCACTGAAACCAGCAAGATGGGAATTTGGTGGCCATTCATTGCTAGCTTTCAACAGAAGAGCAGCCAGCACTTCCTGGATTATGTGGGGAGCTGGAGAACCATGCTTCCCTCTTAGGGGCTCTGAGAACCAAGAATGGGGGAGGCTCCTCACCTTCTGCAGGTGATGGCACCTCCATGGTCAGAAAGAGAAAATGAGGGGGAAACCAGCTGAGAAAAAGGCAGTGTCAGACTTGCAGGCCAGTGAAAGAAGAGAAAGCACACTGGAGTTGGAGCAAGCCATCATGAAAACAATCCCAAACTTAATTCACTTGGATAGGACATCACAGAGTGCTTAGAAGAATTAGCCCTTTATCTTTGCAGACACAAGAAACAAGAACTTGTTCTGCCATTGTGCAGTCATTGATTCCTTATTTCTTTCTTTCTTTTTTGTTTGTTTTTTGCTTCTGAAGAGTGAGCAGAAGAGGCGTCGTTAGAGTTCACCATGGAAACTGCCACTGTGGACAAGGAATGGCTGGCATGTCCTCGGGATGTCACCCTCTAGCAGGTGGCCAAAAAGACACAAACCCTGTACCCAGGGCCAGTCTGGATCCAGCTGTGCCCCGCTCTGGAACAGCTGGAAGCCAGGCTCCTTGGCAGGGTTACCCCTGGGACAGTGACCCTCCAGTACCCCCATGGAGGAATCCTTGCCTCGGTGCTCCCCAAAACAGCATCAAAGGAAGTGGAGCTGCTTTCTTGGAGAGAAGCGGTTCCAACTGGAGGGCTGCAGTTGGCCGTGGCCAAGCTTTCCCATTGTTATTTTACAGTCGCTTGATGTTCTGAAAGATATTTAGAAAAATGACTTTAACTGTCCTGTGCCAAACTTGGTGAGGGTGAAAAAAAAATGAAATTTGGCAGGGATGTTATTCATTCAGCATGCAGCTTGGATGATGTCCAGTGACTAACACAGGAGTTTTAACTGATCTGGGAGACTAAAAACCATTCACAAATACTTTGATTTAGGGTCACTGTGATTTCTTTTTATAAATAATTTTCATTGAGAAGTATTTTTTTAATTAGGATCGACAGATCCTAATAGCAACGCTATTGTGTGCACCGCTCATCATTCCCATCTTCCTAAATGACTTTCATATGTTGTGTGCTGGTTTCTTGTTTGCTGCACACGATGGGGCTTGTTCACAGGGTAACCAACGCCTCTCAGCAGTGGACGAGCCACGCTGAACTCCTCTCTCCAAAGGCACGCTCCAAGGAGGATCCAGATGGAGAGCAAAGGGAGCTTTCACCATCCTGTTACACCTTCCTGTTCAGGGGCTGGTCTGAGCCTTCAGCCAGCCTCAGAGATCCCCCCGTGGCTGTAAAAGTCTTCTGAGTGCTCTGCATCTGAGAGATGGCAACAGCTTCGGTTGCTTCAGTGCTCCAACTCCCATCATGGCACAGGAAGTTCTCTGAACTTCCCTTTTCCCCTTTTCCACGGTAGGAGTGCTGGACAAGAACGGGACCAACTTGGAAAAAAGTCTAAACTCAGCCACCTCCTAACCCAGCAGCCTGAGTAGGTCTGGGAAGACTGCAGGAGAATTCAGACAGCGGATGAGAGAAGAATGACTCGGCGGCTCAAATGAATCTTGCTTGGCAATATCCTCCATGTGTGACAGCCTTTTCTTTGACTTACACAATAACAATTGCAGCCCAGCCACTTCAGCTACTAATCTTATCTCTTGTTTGAATGGCTCTTAGCTTGCCTCCTGTTGATTATAAATGTTTGTACAAGTTCTTGGAGTCAGCAGCGTTGTTTTGTAGCTGGGGCTCCAAACTTTGCGATGCTCACAGTCATGATCAGATATGTTCTTAAAAGCCCACTGAATTGGATTTCAAAACAAAAGGTCCATTGATCTTAAGCCTGAAATCCCAGCCACAACTCTGAAAACCTTTTCCCTTGTCTTTCCAAGGAACTGAAACTGGTGTGAAAAATGACTACAACAGTCAAAGAAAGGAGGATTATCTTATGAGAGGAAGCTACCTAAATTTGGTCTCATTTAAGCTATCAGAACAGGGCTGAAGGGGGTATAATTGCTACTAAGAGACACATGGAAGGAGAGAAGCCGTTAGAAAATCTTGTGAAATCTCTAAACTGAGAGTTGTGGGGCTGGAGATGAAAAGATTTCTGATTTTCAGAGCAAAGAGGTCTGGGATGGGTTTCAGCAGAAGCCACAGAGGCAGTGCAGTGTGCAGCCTGATAACCATATGGGAGCCACTGATAGCACTGCAACAGCCAGGACGGGCAGCATGGGACCAGGAGCTCCCTGCAAGATCCCAATCCACTCTTTGGCCTGGACAAGGCCAAACTTGGACAATGTGTGAGGAGACTCCCCTGGCTCCTGCACTTATCCATCACCCTGGTCCATCCTACTTTGCACCTTGCCTCATTCAGCAGCCATCCCAAGCTTGCCTCGGCCACATGATCTTGTTTTAGCATTGGGCAGACCAATTTAAGTTCCTGTGGGTCCCCAGGATGGGCTGCTGTGGTAGAGCTCCCATTTGAAAATGTTATCTTTTGGGAAGAAAAGATAACTTTTGGGAAAAGATAACTATCTTTGGGAAGAAAAGACTTTTTTTTCCTTTGTTTTGTTTACTTCAATAAGAAAGTGCCTTATTCAAGCCAAATTCAGGCACAAAATCAGAGCATTAGGTAATGGCTGTGATTTCCAACACTGAAAGGTGCTGGGCAAGCAGAACCCCACAAAACATCATCCCACCAAAGCACCGACACTGGCAGGTTGTTCACAGGATTGTTGGCGTGCACTTGGAGTGCACCCACTCCTGAAAAGGTACCACTGGCATGTGCTGGGAGGGAAAAATAACCTCTGCTTCTGGCCAGCATCCTCAGCACCAGCAATTTTCACTGCACCCCAGTCAGAGGCAGAGGGCCACGGGCCTCCAGGGCACAAACACAACTCCTCCTGCACTTCCCAGTTCTACCACGTGGATAAAGCATGGCTCATCCATCAGGACACCTGCTGGTGACAGCAACAGGCCGCAGGTTAGGTTGTTTCATGTCATTTGACTTGAGCACAAAGAGAGAAATCAAGAGAGAGGGGTTGCCAAAGCAGCAGCCTGCCATGGGGCAGCGTGGTGATGCCAACCTGGACACACAGCTCCCATGCCAGGAAACACCCAGGGCAGTTCAGGTAGGCTGAAAATCAAACCCAGCAGCCACGGAGAGCGCTGCACATCCTCAGCGCTCAGGGCTTTCTGACAGCCAGTGCTGAAATATTGTTTCTGTGGTGAAAGGAAACTGTTTCTCTGTGTATTTTTTTTTATTACCCACGGAGTCACCATCACCACAGCCATGGGGCAGGCTGAGGGCTCCTCCTGGGATATCTGAGCATCCTCTAACTCAACAAGATGTCTCAGCAGTTCCCTCCCTGTCTCCTCGAGAAAGCCATTCGTGTGCCAAGCACATTCCACAGGCCACCCCAAAATTCACCTCATAGCACCACTCTTTGCGCAACACTTGCAGGGGTTTTGGGATGCTAGAGGTACATCCATGCCTTCCACAGAAGTCAGCAGTCCTGGAAGCAGCAGGCAGGGAAGCGACTTCTACCCAGAGCAATCCTACCGGTTTGCTTCCTGACCTGCAGCATCAGGAGAAAACATCCTTACTTGGGCTGGAGATGGCTTCAAATTGAGGGTTCAGAAACAAGGACTAGAAGCTAAAGCATCTCCTCCAAAACCCACCCCCAAACCTCCAAGACCCACCCCCAAACCTTTAAAATCCACCTCCAAGCCTCCAAAAATCCACCTCCAAGCCCCACCTCCAAGCCCCCGCTGCGGGGGGACGCCCGATCCCCCCGGTGCCCACTCCTGCTGCGCTCCCGAGCCTCCAGGCCCGGCGCCACGCCATAGGCCCATTAATTAACTTCATCATCAACCCCGAATAAACGCATATCCCACCCCGGGCATCCCGGGCATCCCACCCGGGAGGAGGGCCCGCTGCTGAGCGCTCTCCCGTACGGTTCGCTGCGGGGAGCACGAAGCCGGCGGCTCTTCCGGGGCCGGCCAGCTGCCCCCGGGGTGCGGGAGCGCGGGTGCACCGGGGCCCGCGGCGGGGCCGGTGCCGCCGGTGCCGCCGGGAGCGGGGCTCGGACGCGGCGCCGGTGCGCGGGGGGAGCGCGCAGCTGCAGTACCCGCGGCGGCCGCTCGGCGGCGCGGCACTGCCGCCGTGCTCGCCGGGGCGGCCGGCGGCGGGGGCCGCTCTCTGCCGCCTTCCCGCGCCCTCTCCTCGCTCCGGCAGATCTCGCGAGAGCGCGGCCGGCTGGTGGCCGCGGGGGCTGTTGCAGCAGCGGCGGCGGCGGCGGCGGCGGCGGCGGGAGGAGGCGGCGGCGGCGGCGGCGGCCGGGGGCGGCCGAGGAGGCGGCGGCGGCGGCGGAGGAGGCGGCGGCGGCGCGGGGGCGGCCGCGCCGGGGCGAGCAGCGGCGGGCGAGGCCCGAGCGGCGGCGGCGGCGGAGCGGCGGCGGCATCATGGCGGACAGAGACAGCGGCAGCGAGCAGGGCGGCGGCGGCGGGGGCGCGGCGGGCGCCGGGGGGCCGGGCGCGGGCGGCGGCGGCCCGGGCGGCGGCGGCGGCGGCGGCGGGGGCCCGGGCGGCGGGCTGCAGCACGAGACGCAGGAGCTGGCCTCCAAGCGGGTGGACATCCAGAACAAGCGCTTCTACCTGGACGTGAAGCAGAACGCCAAGGGCCGCTTCCTCAAGATCGCCGAGGTGGGCGCGGGCGGCAACAAGAGCCGCCTGACCCTCTCCATGTCGGTGGCCGTCGAGTTCCGCGACTACCTGGGCGACTTCATCGAGCACTACGCGCAGCTGGGGCCCAGCCAGCCCCCCGAGCTGGCGCAGGCGGCCGACGAGCCCCGGCGGGCGCTGAAGAGCGAGTTCCTGGTGCGGGAGAACCGCAAGTACTACATGGATCTGAAGGAGAACCAGCGCGGGCGCTTCCTGCGCGTCCGCCAGACCGTGAACCGCGGCCCGGGGCTGGGCTCCACGCAGGGCCAGACCATCGCGCTGCCCGCACAGGGCCTCATCGAGTTCCGCGACGCCCTGGCCAAGCTCATCGACGACTACGGCGTGGAGGAGGAGCCGGCCGAGCTGCCCGAGGGCACCTCCTTGACTGTGGACAACAAGCGTTTCTTCTTCGACGTGGGTTCCAACAAGTACGGCGTGTTCATGCGGGTGAGCGAGGTGAAGCCCACCTACCGCAACTCCATCACCGTCCCCTACAAGGTCTGGGCCAAGTTCGGCCACACCTTCTGCAAGTACTCGGACGAGATGAAGAAGATCCAGGAGAAGCAGCGGGACAAGCGCGCCGCCGCCGCCGCCGCCCCCGCCGTGGGCGCCGAGCCGCCCCCCGAGGCCGAGGCGGCCGCCGCCGGGCCGCCCGGCGCGCTGCTGCAGGCCGAGGAGCCCGAGGAGGACTGACCGCCCGCCCGCCGGGACGCGGACTGGCCCCGCCGCCGGCGGGAGGGCGGGCGGGCGGCGGGGCGCGGGGGCGGCGGCCCGGAGCCCCCCCTCCGCCCGGAGCCCCCCCGGCCGCGCCGCCCGCCCGGCGCCCCCCCCGCCGCCCGGCAGCAGCAGCGCCTCAGACCCGCCACCCATCGCTGGATGTTCCTCCACTTTACCCACCGTATCAAACAGTAAGCAGCTGCTAAAACAAAAACAAAACAAAACAGAAAAAAAAAAAAAAA